CTGTTGGATGCACCATTTATTTTCCTCCCACTGATCTTTTTAAAAAGTCCAGAAGCCGTTTGAGTTGACAAGGCTGGTCGAGATTCAGTTTAATCCTACTGAAGAGCAGTATAATATTTTTTTTTTTGGTTAATGGTATCTTGGCATTGCTAAGGAAGATCTTTCAGGCAAAGACCAGGTTATTTGTTCATATACATTCAAATCCAGGTAGACCTCACCTCAGCCTTCTCTTCCTTTTAAGCATCAAAATTTTTAAGCATCACCCTAAGCAGTCAAGTTTGAGTGCGGTACACCAAGTGCTTTCCCAGGCAGTGCTAGTGGGAGAGAAATAGTGCTGCAAGAGCTGTCTTTCTCGGCTTAAAAGCCACATAGCCTTAGGGCTTGTCCCTGCTGGAGGGGGAAGAGGGAAGAAATGCCAATAAAGGGTGGTTCAGTCCTGCTATGTTTAGATTTGACTTATTGCCAAGTTGATTTGCCAGCTGCCTTTATTGATTCAGTAGGAACTTTGCTGGTGATTCTGGTCAGTCTCAGCTGCAGTAAAAAGCCTTAACTCTTGCTGTGCCCTGTAGAGAGGCATAACATTGGATGGCGTGTTGAAGCTGTTTGTCAGGTACACCAGAGTATTTCCATTTTGCCAGTACTGCATACTCTTGCCCTATGGATTTTAACCAATCTATTTTGAGGTTGAAGCCTTCTGTTAGCATATAGCAGGTCATAGGTTTGGTTAAACAGAATCAACATTGTATGGGGATATGTAAAAATCACTGTACAAAATTTCAAAGATGGCATCATCTCGCTGCAGCCTTTCAGCACTCTGGAGGAGGGCCAGGGAAGTCGTAAACTGGGTTTAGGTGGAGCAATACCTGTTTTCCACCTTATTTCTAGTTCCAGAGAAGTAGAGCAGGCTTAGCAGGCCTTGTCCAGAACCTCTGTGCAGTTGTTGGAAGAAAACTTTTTCTTAAGACTTGGTGATTTTTACCATTTTTGGACCTTTTTTTATTATCCTGATAGGCAGCAACCTTTTAATTTTAACAGCAGTCATTTGTATTGAATTTTAGATGTCCCTGCCTCGTAGCAGACCTGTGATAAAACTTGTATTAGCTTTAGGGAAGAAGGATGTTGATTTGGTTGCTCCCTGGATTTTTTTTTTTTTGTGTGTGATAAGGAGTCTACACAGAGGTAGAGTTGAGGTAAAGACAGAGTGATAAAGTTTCTGGATGATCTTGAATTGAAGATAAACATACCATGCTAGGGAAATAAAAAATGGACCTAGGTCTGGGGGTGAATGCTGTCAGGTAACAAGGTGTGTCTTCTCAAAAGAAAAAGAAAAAAAAAAAATCCTAACCAAAGAGAATCTCTGCCAGGGAGAAGAACAACTGAGTTGGTTTACCACCATAGTGAGCCACTTGCCCAGAGTATTCTGAAATAAAATAAAATTTAAAAAACACAGCTATACTGGGTCTGATCAGAGATCATTTTTCTTGACAGTCTTGTCTTTAGCTCTGGCCAATAACGTATGCTTGGGAGAAAACATACAAGAATGGACTGTTTTGTTCCTGGCAACCAGTGAGCTGGGACACTTGAGCCAAAAATTGCAACAGGATTGTCATGCTTCATAGACCTTTTTCTGTGCACAGACTTGTCTTTTAAATGCATTTATGCTCTTGGAATTAATGACAACCTGAGTCAGTGACTTATTCCAGGTTGAAGAACATTGTGTTTGTTTAACCTCTCCTCCCAGATACTGTCGTGTTCTTCTATGACTCTGCCACCAGGTGATATGGGAATATTGGAAATATCTACATCCAGCTACTATATAAATTTTTCGTATTCCTTTTTTATTATTCCTGCCATTCTATTTGCCTTTTCATTAACTGAGCTAAAATGCTCAAAGAGCTATCCACGTTTGAGTCCAAGATTTATTTTTTTTAAGTGGTAATACCAAGTTTAGGATGTATCACTGAGTATATGCACTAAGAGTGATCTAACACTCCATATACATTAATTTGCACTTGCAATGAGCTGACCTGCCAGCTTACTTCCTCGGTAGTGTCCTTGAATTACTCTGCAGCTGTTTATAGTCATTTTAATTGTAACTACCAAGAACTTTTTTTTATTGCTCAGTAATGACCTGGAAGAGGAGGTGGACAGCTTGGCTCCCAGCACAGACACTTCTGCTGCAGTCACAAACTCACTTAAAAAATTGGAATGAATGCACAGCCTTTACACTTTAGTTATTAATCTTAAGAGATTTTCCATCTTACCCTGCCGTACTTTGAAGAACTTTATTTGTAAAGAAAGCAAAGAACCTCATCAAAGGCTATTAATAGGCTCACTCGTGTCCACATGAGTTTTGATTTCTTCAAAAGATGGTGATATGTATCTGCGGCATGGCTTTCTTCCATAAAAGCTGTTTCGTTATTTATTATTAGCTTCTTTTCAACACAGAAGTCAGACTTAGTTGTCTAAAATTTTTAGCTCCACAGCAGCTTTTTATAAAAATTGGTGTCATGTTTTCCTCCTCCTGTTTGTTTGGTAACAAGGCTGGTGTCAGCAATAGTTATACACCACAAGAGCTTGTCGATTTATGTTGCATTCTTTTTGGAAATACTGGGTTTGTTTTAAAAAAAAAAAAAAAGAAAAAAGCAATTAGGCTATTCA